ACCCAAGATAAAAGGAAGAATGCACCCTCGACTGGGGACTCAAATGGACTGATTTGRGTTGTTGACTATTGATTGGCCTTGGTCTCCTTTGTGGTGGTTGAGATTATAGTATTTTCTTAATTTTATTACTGTACTTATTTCTGGATTCTACCAAATGTAGCATATATGTGTGGTTGGCTTYAATAAATCTTTTATTTAAAAATGAAAACCAGCAAAAGCAAGAGTTTGTAATGTAATGCCCAGACTCAGTAAAGGCCCTTGATAAACTTTGTTGAGAACGATGAGTTCTGTCCATTTTAATTTCAAGGCCTTGGTAATTTGTGGAGTAGTTACCTCGATGAATCAAAATAGGATTTTTTCAATTCTCTGAGCCCTATTATAATGTTATTACATGGTATCTTACATGGACATAGACAGATGTCACAATTATTCCCTAAAGCCATTAGAAAGATATTATCTTTTTTGTGTTTGCTGCAAATTTTAGATCACATATCCTGAGTCTTGAAATTCAGTGGAGTAAAAATTTTTCCAGATCTAGGAGACAATTGTTTTACAAATGCAAAACAATTTGGGTAGATAAAATATTTGAAAACAATTTAAACCAAATCAACCTGTACTTTATCTGTGTGCTGAGATTTTAGGTCCAGTGGATCAGAATACAGGGAAAAAACTAATGAGAATCCCTCAATGGATCCTTCACCCACCAAACAAGATTTCTTCAGAAACCGACTTGCTCTTGCAAATGACCTTGACCAAGGAACAGCTGTGTAAAACATATTTAAAGTTGTATTGTCAAGTGGTAAGATGAGGATAAAAAGCTTGTATATATCTGTGTAGGAATATATGTATATATATATATACATAAAATATATATATCAATGTATAAATCCCTGAGGAAAACCAATATAAATACTTACATATGAAACTAACAACATACAAGACATTGAAGAGATGAAGATTAGTGTATGGTTAAGACCTGGCTTTTTGAAACTCAATACTTGGGAAAAGGGAATGAAGACTTTTCATATCATTACAGAAAAACACAATCAATTTGGAGGAAAATAAATGTTTGTAAGAACAAAACCTTGCACCTTGAAGTCATTCCCCAAGTATAATATTGAGCATGTTCATATTTCACAGGGATGTGAATTTTGTGTTTCCTAGGCATTTAGCTTATTAATGCATCCTAGTGTGCTTAGATTAATATACACTGCTAGGGGCCAATTGTGTCTTGCCATATGTCTTCAGAACCCCTAAGGCAATAGGTAACATCCCTTAAAACAAAGCAGGTTAATTAACACAACTGTATCTTACATGTTGCAAATCTGAGTTATGAAGAATTTGTGCTTAAGCCATGATACAAAAAAGTTCAAAGGTTAAAGACACTTGATCTTCAAACTTGTTTGGTGGTAATGGAAAACAGTAATAGGAACAATGATTTCTGTAGACACTGGGTAGCTGGGGAACAAAAAAAAAAAGCTCCATATTTTTCCCTTGTATGGATTGTACTGAGGTTGGGAATAATCCAGAGTCTTTGTATTGCTGAGTACTCAGTATTCCAGATCCACCTGTGATCCTAAGTGTCRCACACACTCATGATCAGATGGATTAAGAAAAAAGCACTGATTTCGCCACATCCTTAAAAAAAGACTTTCTTCAGTCTGGACAGAAGGTGGCAACAGCAATAGTACTTTAACAGTAGACACATAGAGGTTACTACAAACACCAGGTCATAATGAAAACTCAGGGATGCAGTACCTAACTTTTGCAGAAGTTGTAAAGACACAAAGCTCTTATAGGTCAGATAAAGGAATCATAATGCAATGAATGTCTTCCTGGTTCTGGGGTAGTAAAATGTGCTGTTTCCTTATAGACATGGCCCAAATGACTGGTGTCCTTGATATGCCCATGATAATAAAAAAAAAATAGATTTAAAATATTTGTCTCCATTCCTAGTCAGTTACCTATAAAAAATTAGGAGTATTTGACTTATGTACATTCAGAATCCTAGTACTCAACCTGACTTCTTCAGACCATGTTCCTCTGTGAATGAATGCACTGTTGGATAAAATAGGGGATGTTTTATTTCTAAGTATTACAACTTTACTTCTCTTTGGCAATTAATTAGCAACATTAGTAGCGTGAACAGTAGGTTTCTGGAACATGTTAAGAATCACTGCCAAGTTTTTGAAGTTTGCAATATTAAATTTAAGTCAACCTGGTCATTAAGGCACACACCTGTAATTCTAACTACTCAGGAGGTTGAGGCAGGAAGATATCAAGTTCAAGGCCAGTCTGGGCAACTTAATGAGTTCTTGTCTAAAATTAAAAAGAGCTGGAGATGTAGCAGTGGTAGAGCACATGACTAAAATGTGTGAGGCCCTGGGTTTGATCCCCAGCATAGCCGAAGAAAAAAAGAAATTAATGGATTAATTTGAAATTATTAGGCCAAACTGTTTTAAGGCAGTGCTTGCAAAGCACAATGCCAGATCAACTGGACATGAAAATAGAAGTCATGACCTCTTAAATAAAATGTAATCAACAGTAAAATGCCTTTCCCTTTCATATCCTGTTTTCTCATCAAAATGGTCAGTTACTAGGAAGGTTTAAAAAAAATCACACCCATCTCAAATTTCATTTGATAACATCCTCTGAAAAATCTTGATTTACATTTATAGCACAGYTCAATTTAGTTGTATTTTATGAAATCAACCAATGAAACTAGTAATAATTATGCTATTTTGGGTCTTTGTCTCCTGAAATTTGCATTTTGGGGGGTAGTTTTCTAGTTGCCTACAAGTACTCTGCCCCCACTCCTATATGTTTCTAACACACTAAATATTCTGAAATACTGCTCATTGTGAAACTCTTTGACTGTTCTTGTATTATCAACTAAACTCCTTGACTTGACATTTAAGTTTGTCTCTCTATAGTATGGCTGCTAGTTTTCTTTCTCACTGTCATCTCATACTTTGCTGTTCTGGGTAAACTAAGTTATCCTAACTGGGCTTCTATTGTTTTCAGTAAACCATGTACCTTGCCCAGGCTCACTCTTGCTTCATACCTTTTCTCTAGCTGCTGTTTCTCTGTTAATCTTAAAATCCAATTTAAGCCCCCTCATCTTTTTTGTGACCTCTTGTGGTGTGACTAGTTTATCTTTTGATGTATTTGTATTATCTTCCCATTAGGAATGCAAGTTCTTTCAAGGGACTATGCCATATCTTTTTTTTTTTTTAATTCTCCTCCACTCCTAGAAAAGTACATAGTAGGTGCTCAATAAATGCTTGATGTCAACTTTCATGGTGATGCTATAATAGGTAGAGTGATACAGAAAATAAATAGTACTCTTGATTTGACAAAGAGCCTCAGGGTTCATACTTTATCTTTGGCCTTTTACTTTTTTAAAGGAAAAAAGTCACAAATAAAATACAGTTGTCTTCGGAAGCAGTTAAAGACACTGTTGCTGTTTTCACAGCACCTAGCATTAGAAAACATCTCTCCAATTAAAAAAAAAACTTTGCTATTTTTTTGTTGTTCTAACTTATTTTATATAATCTTTCTAGGTAGTATTATAAATTGAGGAGAGACAGGATGATTAGTRATAGTAATGATATATAATGTAATATGGCATTAGGGATGAAAGTCAGTATGGGAGTTTGACAGTTGTTAATCTGTGAACTCCAGTCCTCTGGAGAAATGCAGTTTACACATGAGACCACAGATATCTTTGGGAAGTGTTTGGGTTGATGAACAGAAAGAAGCACTCCACCAAAAAATGGAKATTTTTGCACAGGCAAGGGAGTTATGATAGGTCTCTTCTGTAACCTTGTGGGATTTACATGCAGATCCAAGCAAGACTGTCTTGTTTCTCTGACTTCAGAATTAGAACCTTTGAGAAGCACGGATTTGTGTACTCCTAAGGTTCTCTCTAGTGGGCTATTCTGTATATATATCTGTTATATATTAAACTAATCTAAGACTTGAAACTAGAATGTCAGGGAAGCACTTTGAAGGGCATTTTCTGTAATACCCCATGTTTCATCCCTTTACCTCCTTCAAGTCTTTACTCATGTTACCTTCTCCATGAGAGCCCTTGTAAAATATAGACTCCTGGGCACTATTTTAGTCCCATTTTATTAGGAACATTTGAGGACGGGCCCCAGGAATCTGCACTGTATTTATTTTTGTGGTGCTGGGAATCAAACCCAGGGCTTCATCAAGATTAGGCAAGTGCTGTACCACTGACCTAGTCTCAGTCCCAGGAATCTGCATTTTAAATGAACTCATGTTATTTTCTTTGGTTCACTGAAATTTTAGAGCCACTACCTCTTAGGCCAGTAAATTGAATGATCTGATATGCAAATGTCAGGATTCTTGTCATAGATTGAATTTTAGGACAGGAGGTTGGTTAGACCTGAGGCACAAAAAACTAATAGTTTGTTGAAACCCAGGTGAGTATTTTTGCATTCTTAAATTTATCAGCTGTAGCCCCCCCTTTTTTTAGTATTTTAGCTATAGATGGACATAATACTATTTATTTATTATTTGTTTGTTTGTTTTTATGTGGTGCTGAGGATTGAACCCAGGGCCTCACACATGCTAGGGAAATGTTCTACCCCTGAGCCCAACCCCAGCCCCATCAGCTGTAACCTTTACCATCCTATACAGCAAGATTTTTATTTAAAAAAAAATACACACACACACACACACACACACACACACACACACACACACGGTGAGTGTATTTTATGAAGTGGTAAAATTGAAGTGTATTTTATGAAGTGGCATATTACAAAGAACTGATTGCATGCACTTAAAATGACAAATGTCTTTGAGTTGTATAATAAAATTGTTTAGTTTTCAGACTAAACTTTTTCTTGAAACATCACCATTAATAACTTCCCTCCTGAGCATTAAAAAAAAAAAAACCATGGTTTTCAGGACAGTTAGAATTCTTATATCCTGAAAGATGATTTAAAGATGTGAATGCAGCACTCTTGGCCACTAAGCATCTTGATATTTATGGCATATAGGCCAGCAAGTCACATGGTGGGGAGGGACTGAGAGAAAAGGAAGGATGAGATAGCAAAAGAGACAGGGGTGGGCTGGGGATGTGGCTCAAGCTAGCGCTCGCCTGGAATATGTGCTGCCTGGGTTCGATCTTCAGCACCCCATACAAACAAAGATGTTGTGTCCGCCGAAAACTAAAAAAAAATTAAATAAATAAATAAATATTAAAAAATTAAAACAAAAAAGAGACGGGTTAAAATTAGGTAGAGAAAACTGATGGAGACCTATATGTTTTAAGGGGGAAAAATAGAAATTAATGTGTCATGATACTACACTTGTGTTTTGAAAATATAGAAAAGATATGAATTTAGATAATGCTAAAAATAACTTTTTGAGAAGTTGTTAGATGTTCAAAATAGTCAATTTTGGGGGGTGGGGTAGTGGGGACCGAACTCAGGGGCACTCCACCACTGAGCCACATCCCCAGACCTATGTTTTGTATTTTATTTAGAGACAGGGTCTCATCAAGTTGCTTAGCGCCTCGCAGTTGCTGAGGTGGCTTTGAATTTGAGATCCTCCTGCCTCAGCCTCCCAAGTGGCTGGGATTACAGGCGGGTGCCACCATGCCGGGCTAAAATAGTTAATATTTTAATCCTCAAATCACATAACTTTTTTTCTATAGAGCTTAGTGCATAATCCTTAAGTCATCTAAACTTGTTCTTATCTGTAAAATAGAGATATTTTTATCATCTTGCCTTCATTCCCTTCAGACACAGTAATATTAAATACTCTTAATTCTAGCAGGAAAACAATGTGTTGTGTTTCTTTCTCATGTACATAAACCTATGCACCTGAAGAGTCCTCTAGGATCAACTGTAAAGCACTGTTGGAGGATACCATCTGTGCTTTTGAGTTGTTTCCATTTCCTAGCCTCACTATCACGTTTTCCTCTCTACCTGGGGCAAGCCCATTTGCATACAAACCTGTTTTCTCTGGACTATTCTAGCTTCACTCCAGTTCACTGCTTTTCTTTATTGTAAAACTTGAAAGCAGCAGCTACTTCAGTTGTGCTCCTGTGCTATTAAACTTTCTAGGCCCAGGCTTTTGCCCAGGTCATTGGGCCAACTCCTTATGTCAAGATCACTGACAACTTCCACATGGATAAACACTGTCCATCCTCAGTCATCTTACTTTCCTTAGCAAGTAGCATTTGATCACTTTTCCCTTCTGAAATAATTTCTTTATTAGGCCCTAAAGATACAACATACTCTTGGTTTTCATCTTCATTCTGTGGTGCTGCTTCCTCTTCCCCTTTTGATGCAAGAGAGTACCCCCAGGGCTCACTTTTGCTTAGTGCTCTTCCTTTGCCAGTTTATTYTCTCTTGCTTTGTGATCTTATCCAATCTGCTTGCTTTAAAATATGGTCTTTATTAAAGTCACTGCCAGTTTTATCTTTAGCCTAGACCTCCTTTCCAAGCTCCATGGTAACATCTCTAAGTGCCTTCTTGACTTAAGATTTCTGATCTATTCATTGAACTTAATGTATCCAATCCTTTTTGCTTAACCATATCTTTTTCACCTCAGTTAATAATAACTTTATCCTTCCAGTTGTTCTGGCCAAAAACCTTGCAGTTATCCTTGACAGTTTTTTTTAYCCCACAATCAGTCTAGCAGCAAACTGGCTGTTTTCCAAATATAACTCTGACCTCTTCTTACCACCTCCACTGCTGTCACACCGTTCCAAATCATGTTCTGTTGAGCTGAACTCCCTATTCTTGCTTTTAATCTCTAATTATTCTCAACACAACATCCAGAGTATAAATCAAATCACATCACTCCTCTGCTCAAACCCCATAAGGTCTCTTGTTTCTCTAAACAGAAGTCGAAGTCATGATAAGGGCTTTTAAAGCTTTAAGTGACTGGGACCTGCTTAAACCTCTGATGGCAACTTCTTCTAGACCATCCATAGTCATTTCTCTCCTGACAAAAGCAGCCTCACTGATTCTCAAGATACATCAAGTATGCTTCTGCCTCTGGCCTCTTGAACTGGCTGATCTTTGTGTATATTCTTCTCTCAGATATTCATTCCTTTACCTCCTTCAAGTCTTTATTTATATGTCATGTCCTCTGTGAGGCAGACTCTGACCATCCCATTTAAATTTCACCTTCCTTGTCTCCCACAATCCCAGTCACCTTATTCCTCCTCC